AGAGAAAATAGCAGGTAAAAGAGAAGACACAACTGAGCACAAAATTTGCATAGAGAAACATCAAATGAGAAAGGCTGACTATCAATCCTGTGTATGTGGCTTTATTTACAGAGCAGAACTGTTGTATTACCATCAAGATTTATGGGACACCATACAGCTGAAAGGGCCACAGAAGATGAACAGTGTTGAACATCAGCATGTTGGGGGGAATGTTCAACAGAAGCTCAATGCTGAGAATGCCACTAGGCACTTAAAATTCATAACCTCTTCTGAAGCAGTGTTTAAAGACTGCTCTTCCAAGCTGGAAAGGATCCAAAAAATTAAAAGCCAAACACAAAGAACAAAGAACAGAAAGAGAAGCAGTATTTTTTTTCTGAACGCCCATGAAAATAGCCAAAAAGTAGAGGGATTCTTAGGTCTTGAATAATGTTTATCTGCAAGGAATGGAAAAATTACCACTTTTTAACGATTTTCTGCTAATGGCTGAACCCTGACCCTGAGATACCAACACCTACACTTGGTTGGCCTCATGACCACATGTTCACCAAAGATGAGAAATGACAGACATAAAATTTTAACAGTAACCACCATTTTGGAGCCACACCTTTGAAACTTGCCATACACGCCACCAAGTTCTGGTTCTCCCATTAGTTTTGCCCTTTTCTTGTGATTCATGCAGGCTCTCTTAGACAAACATGTATTTTAGATATCATAAAGCACAATCTGTACACACACCTCTCTACACTAACAAACATGTGCAAAACTAATCTATAGAGAAGTGTGTTGATTGTATGGATATAGGCCAACAGGAACTTTCTACAGCCAGCGATTCCTTCAAATTCAATATTGCTGGAAGCAACCTATTTTTTCAGAACTTTCCCCAGAACTAAACATGGGATAGTGCTATAATGATACAGTACTATAATATATAAGGCTGATAACAGCTGCAATTTTTCAGAAATTAAAAATGTCCAACTTCTATCCCAAAACTTAAATGTAATAATTGGATATCTCAGTGGTTTAGTTTTCTGTCTATGGAGCCAGAGGTTGAGAGTTTGATTCCCCCATACCTCCCTCAATGATCTACATGGTCCCTTCTAGTGCTGCAGTTCTAAGACTATTGTTGGGAATTTGTGGAATCTCTGTAGAAATCTGAAACGTTCCCATTGTGTCTCCCAGGAGAAGAGCCAGTGTGTGTAGCCTTGGGCAAATTGCACAATCCCAGGATACCCCCATTAGAAGGGAATGACAAACCACCTCGGAGTACTCTACCTAGTAAACCCTAGAAAAGGTCACCATAGGTCGGAATTGACTTGATGGCACATTATTATATTCATAAGCTTTAAATGCACACTTGGAACTACAGTTCTTAAGATATGAAATTGGGAGGGGGAAAATAGCCATGATAAATTACTAATGCCTCTGTTCTCTAATACTGTAACTGCCAAAGTGACTTCATAAGGGTAACCTGGCAAATAATTCTTTGCGCAGGTGAATTTTCTGCTTATGGCGAATTTCACCAAGATTGGCATTTTAAATTGCATCATATGGCTCCATAATGACCTGATACTCCTCTACATTATTTGTGCCTGTTTAGCAGGTTAAAATGTACAAATGAGAGAACACACTGTTGAAAGGTCAACATCTTCCTGGGCATGCACTAAGGCTTTAGGGTTCACTGTATTTGCCAGTGGGAATTGTCCACAGTTCTAGTAGTATGGAGTGAGCGCCCGTCGCTTGTCCCAGCTCCCGCCAACCTAGCGGTTCGAAAGCATGCAAATGCAAGTAGATCAATAGGGACCACCTCGGTAGGAAGGTAATAGCGTTCCGTGTCTAAGTCGCACTGGCCATGTGACCACGGAAGATTGTCTTCGGACAAACGCTGGCTCTATGGCTTGGAAACGGGGATGAGCGCCGCCCCCTAGAGTCGGACACGACTGGACAAAAAAAATTGTCAAGGGGAACCTTTACCTTTACCTAGTAGTATGGGCACCTGGACACATGCAACACTCGAAAGACAGACATTTCTCAAATGGCAACAATTTAGGTACTGTCTTCTGTCTTTTTAGTAAAGCCAATTGCAAAACTATGAGGATGTGCTAAGTGCTTATTTTTAAAATGCCCATGTAACGTGATGACACCAGAATGACACAATAAAGCATGTGTCATCATAACAATGATTAAAACAGAAGTATGGCTCATCAATTGTAATTTTTCTTCTGGATATGGTCTACCTTTTGACTTATTCTCTACAGGCTACAATTTTAAAATATCCATGCTGTCACCATAGATATGTAGAATGAGACAGACTGCTTATACAGTGGTGCCTCGACTTACGACCATCCCGACATACAACCATTTCGAGTTGTGACCAGCTCCGGCTGCAAAATTTTGCTTTGACTTGCAGCCAGAGCTTCGAGTTGCGATCAAAAGAGGCAGGGGAAAAAGGCAGATAATTCAAATTAGAGGGCTAATCGTTGGTTGGGGAAGAACTTTTTTTGTAGTTCTTTCGCCCCAACAGTTAAGAGTGTGCACGTCGGAGGCTTGGGACTGCCTGGTGCTGCTTTCTGGTTCTGAGTAAGTACATTTACAGGGTGGGTTTGGACTGGGGGGTGTTGTTTCTGTACTGTTTTTCAGCACCAGCGCCTTCCAATGGGGCTTGCTGCACTGTTTATTTTTGGTTTTTATATAGCCGCCTAGAGTGGACGAGTAGTCCAGACAGGCGGGGTATAAATCAAATAAATGAATAAATAAGCCCCAGCACCTTCCGACAGGGCTGCTGTGTGCTTGTATTTTTGGGTTTTTTTAAAAGCCCCAGCGACTTCCAACGGGGCTGCTGTGGTTATTTTTTGGGTGGGCCGGAACGGATTAACCATGTTCCAATGCATTTCAATGGGAAATGGTGCTTCGACTTATGGCCATTTCGACTTACGTCCATTTTCTGGAATGGATTATGGTCGTAGGTTGAGGCACCACTGTATAAATACCTCCTTGGTTTTTTGTTTTTAAACCATCACTACTAGAAATCAGTGAGAAAAGACAATGGTAAAAACTAAGATACCATAGCCCTATATCAGAGATTCCAAACTGTGGTTCCCCAGATGTTCTTGGACTACAACTCTCAGAAACCCTGGCCAGCAAAGCTGGTGGTGAAGGCTTCTGGGAACATTCGCAGAAACCCTGGCCAGCAAAGCTGGTGGTGGATTCTGGGAACATTCATCCTAGAACAAAGTTTGAAACCACTGCCCTATATCAACATGGCTTCCCCTGACAAGCAGAAAGGTGTGTGCAGTCAAAAGGAACACAACATATATAGGGAACACCGACCACATCTTATGTAGGCTTCAGCTGACAAGAGTTTCCTCTAGAGCAGGGGTAGGCAGTTAATTTCTATATGGGGCCACATGAAAAATCTGGACTTTGTTCAGGGGCCGAATCAACTTTACTTAAAAATAAAAAATAAGCAACTGATCAACCTTAGACAAAAAGCTATAAATGGTTTTGATGTTCAACTTGTTCAGTGAGAGAAATCCAGTCTGTCTTGGGCTTGAACACCGCACTGGAGCAACGACCGGCGGGCCGGACAGGAGTGGCTCATGGGCTGTATGTGGGCCTCGGACTGCACTTTGCCCAGAGACAAATCCAAAGTTAGGGAAGATGTGGGTTTTGGATAAGATGGGCGTTTGAACTTTAAACACACTGAAAAAAAATGTTTTGTCACTGAAGACTGCTAGACCTATACCTGAATATTCATCCACATAACTGCTCACATTTGAGCAGGTATTGCACTTCCTAATCACCTCTCTCTCCTCATCATACACATGCAATGATAAGACTGAACATGCCCATTTCACCCCACAATAGGCAGGGGAAGAGGCTAAATATCATGGTTTAAAAAACACTTCACAACTATTTGAAACAGTTTTTCTATTTCCCACGACCAGAGAGACTCTACTCTTTGCATGGGATAAACACTTACGCAGGTTAGGATGAAAGATAAGGGGGTCATGTTTTGCACAACTGTAGTGTTAAATTACGTTTCTTGTATTGTCAGGAACTGTGAACATGATAGAGAAGTCAAGGAGCAACTCTGCGACTCATCACTACTGAGCTGAAGTTTCCTTTGGGGAGCCACTGAATTTAACGAAACGCTTATTCAAGTTGCATGGTTCTGTCTGGCTTGTGTATCTTGCAGAAACACACGGCACAGCTAAAAGATAATAGAAGGAATGTAGTATTTAACCTGGCATTTTTACAAAATGTTACATGGATTTTTAATTGCTAAATAAAGCAGTTGCAACCTCTTATTCCAATTCAACTAAGGACTGCTGCAAGAGCAATGTCTGATGAACAAGCGATGTATGTCTGGCATTATGGCAATACACTGCAACAGTGTATAAACATATACCTATGCTCACCTCCTTTCTGGTGCAACGAGTCCTATGTAACTATGTTCTAGTATTTTTCTACAAGAAACAAGGGAATAATCCACATCATTAATGTCTCACATAACTCTGATCTCTTCAAGAGCTACTGAAAATTACCACTAATGATGAAAATACCATATCATAAGTGCAGGCAAAAACAACTCATAAGCAACCATCTTGGTTAACCAATAGGTACCAAGTTGGATCAATACATATCAAACATACACATATGGCAAATGCTACAGATGAGTATCTGAAAAGATTGTGGTTATTAGTCTATTTCAACCAACAATTCATAAACAAGAGTTTATGTGTAACAAAGCAAAACCATATTTACAATCTGCCAAGGAAAGATTTGCAAACTGAATTTTGCTGAAATGTTTAGTCACAAGATGGACAAATAAACATGGCAACAGAAAACCCCTTGCAATAATGGGCCAGCTGTCCACCTTTAGTTTAGCATTTATTGCTTTTAAAAGTGTATCAGTTCTCAAAATGAAAGAGCTTCCAGTGTCAGTCTCTGAAGCAGTAAGATTACACACAAGTGGGCGCAAAGACACAAGAAGTGAAAAATACTGTTGTAAGAAGTTTAATTTAAAAAAAGAGAATTTCAACAGTGCCTAAATCTTTATTTTTCATAACCTACATATTTAGACAGTTGTACACTTTTATGACACAAAAGGAAACTTAAATTACCAATAGTTTACATGTAAGCTTGATTCCAGTCTTAAATGGAAAAACAAAACAAAAACAAAAAAACAAAACACGCTCAGAAAAAAAGGCCTCCATATTACACCTTCTGTTTCATGATGGGCAGCTGTTAGCTTGCACATGTCTTCGATTGTCTGCTGCTATCAGTGTAAGAGGTTACACAACACATGAGAACTGCAGCTAGCTGCAAGGCATAGTGTGTGTCAAGTGGGCCCTTACAGGCAGCGGTTGTTCACGATCCACCGTGTTATACTTGCAAGCAAGGTCATCTCTTTGCCAACTCACTATGTCTTCCAATGAGAGGCAGAAAAATGAAGAACAACAAAAAAAATAATAATATTTAAAATTTGAACTCAACAGTTCACTGGCTGCTCTAGAACAGAACATAAATTTGAGGTGGGGTAGGGGCAGGTAAGATATCCCAATGGGAATTATTGTACATCTTAAGCCTTAGGAAACAAAATCCTTGTTTTAAATGCGTTCCTTGAGGAAATCTCAGAAGAACATGACTCATAACTTGCCTATAAAGAGCAAAGTTATCCTACTTTTTTTTAAAAAGCCAAATTGCATTGGTTTCTTATCATTTTAACTTCCAACTCAGATTTCAGGGGTGCATTTAAAACAAAAAAACAGATTTGAATTATTGTATGTAAACAGTGCGTGTGATATCAGTTTTTGTTCCAGTAGCCCCATATTGTCTAGATAAATATCAAAGTGATTGGATAAGGTATTTGGCATAACATTTTTTTTTTGCTTTTAAAAATGCTCTCACAGTAGAGTTTAAAAATTCTTTACATAGATTGTTATTTGGGTGAGAATTACAGTGTATTAACCTAGTACAAGCAGCAGCAGCATAATGCATCAGAACAGTATAACCTCCCTGCTAGTCTGCCTATGTTCACTTGAATATTTCAAGCAGCCATGATTAGCTTGTACACTTTAGCTGGGACTACTTCCTGCTTTCTTTGCAGCTGTTCCCTTCAGGCTTTCAACAGGCAAACGGAACAATCCGACACTTGGCCGAAACAGCACCTCAGGTTTAGCCGCCATTTCTCAGGGCTCTTCTGGCAACCATTAAAACCCAACAACAGAACTCATCTGGTGACTTCTGTCGGGAGAGTCTCCATCTCCTGCTGTGTCTTCACAGAAAGCAACAAACAGGCTCAGTCTGCTCCTGTTACCTTTTGCAATGCAAAAGGCAGGCTCGTGGGCTTTTGTTGGCTTGTTTTGTTGACTCTTTTGTGAAGAGGACAATTAAAACAGCAGCAACCTATTTGGAAATCAACTGCCCTGGGTGTTCCGCCTCTATCCAGCATGTGTCACTTGCCAACCTTGTGGCCTCAGGAAAATGGCTGAGGAAACTCTGGAGCTCCTTTTTTTTTTTTGCTGCAATGTTGTTTCCTTCCAATTTGGTTCTTAACAGCCGTGGGCTGTAACACCAAATCAAAACTATGTTGCACAACCCTATGTCACACTGGTTGAAAAATGCACACTTCCATGTAGTTTTTTTTTCAAAATGCCAGACGTTCTCCAATTCCCTTTTGCAGTGAAGAGGCAGAATCAGCTCAGCACATCAGATAAAAGTAAAAGAAACAAAGGAAAAAAAAACAAATTAAAGTAATATTCAAACCACAACATTTAGTTTATCTACATCCATCTCAACAGCAACATTTATAATATATCAATAATTTTTATCAGTTTTTTAATGGTACCTTTTTATATGTTCTGATTATTTACACCTGTACAAGCAAAAGCACACACTTCCAAGTGCACATATTTAATACAGTATTGACTATTCCCATTTACAGATTTTTTTTCAACATTTTGAAAAAGATCAACTGCTTAAGATCTTTTAAGGTATTTTACAAAAACTGCCGCTACTACCTGTACTACAGTATGTTTACCCAGTAAGACCAGTGACAATACATACATACTGTAACTGAGTAATTCTGTATATGCCACCCGCACTAACCCTTGGAGGGGTCAGATTTCAGTAACTCTAAGCTGTCTTATACAAAAGTTAAGGCAAAGTCATTTTCAAGTTTAAATAAAATTCAAGTCTTTAAATATTGGATGGAAATAATTCTTTAAAAAATCAGTTGTTTAAATAAACCTTTTTGTGTGTGGAATAAATTGTATTCAGCAGGAATACATTTTCATCCGAACCATCAGCTGCTTAAACACTCAAAGAAAAACTTTAGGCATTTTAAAACAAAAATAATTTATATTCAACTTTATTAGAAACTTGTTAATTTAGTGCATCCGTGTCCTTCAGAAAGCATGTCACGTCTAAAGTAAATAAGTGTGACAAAACTCACTCCAGACAGAAACAAGGGATCTCTTCCTTCACCATATATGCACACGCACACACACAAAAAAAGAACTCCGTTATGTCATGGACTGGAAAAAAAAATTAAATCCATATGCCAATGTTTGTAGGTACAGAAAAGTGTCAGCACTTAGGCTGATTAAGATATGAACTCTTTCGAAGAGCACTTTGAGCATTGTTTTAAAAACCTACATGGAGTACGGAGGGGGGGGGGAACCAGAAAGCAATTTGCTCTGGCTTCAGGGAAAAAAGGGAGATCCTCATCACAAGATGGCCACTGTGCTATCTCATGAAAAACAGCTGTTAGCCGACATCTGCCATTTACAAGGGCTTATGTATTTAATTTTTTTTATCCACAATGTGCTTTTTTTTTTTCCTTTTCGTGAAATTCAAGGAACCCTTTTATCCGGGATTGAGAAGCTGGTTACTTGCTTGCAGTCCATCAAAACAAACAGGTTAGAGTATCCTCACTACTCATCTTTATGGAACCTCAAATTTGGCCCGAAACAAAAATGGTTTCATTTTAAAACATCAGAATCCATTTTTCCCCAACTTAAAAAAGTAGTTTATTTGCTGATGTCCTACAGCAGCTGGAATTTTAAAAGAAAAAGTGAAACTAGTCTTATAAAACCTGTTTTCCTTTGCGCTCTACACATTAGCTGCTATTATTAGTCTTCTGTGTTTTTTTAAAAGAAGATATGTATTTAACAGATCAGTTTTTTAAAAACAAGAGCAGCACAATTCTGCTTAGTAGATCAGGAAAAAAACAACTCATGAGACAGAGCCTGTATTCACACAGCCACATGGAGGCTTAATAAAAAATTGATTTTTCAGGTAAATGCATCTTCCATCTAGAAGCAAGAACGAAAAGAGATTTTAGGCATTACCCCCAGTTCAGCACCACCCAAAATGTAAGGTTTAGATTAATTAAACCCTGACCGAATAGACTGTTTGCTCAAGGATGTGGGAGAGAGAGCAAAAGAACTGGAGGCGCAATCTACTTTACAAGGAAAACAAAACAAACAAAAACTAAAACCTTGCAGGCATTTCATAGATTTTCATACCCAATGCAAGCTCCTAACCAGCAACTCATTCTGTGTATTCTGAGTGGCCACATAGGTTTACTTCATAGTGAGAATTATTATTATTATTATTATTGAACTTCTTTTTGAACACTAATTTCACTGAGGTGATTTTGGAGGGGTGCTCTGTTCTTTCGTCAGGCGTTTCACAATGGCTGGAGGGGGTGACCTGCGTCCTGACAGTCTCCGCTGGTCTTTGGGCTGCCCTGGATTCGACTTCGCCGGAGGGGGTTCTTTGCTCCTCTCTAGGGATTCTGCAGGCTTCCTTTCATCTTTCCCACAGGCGATGTGGTTTGGCTTCTGTTCTTTCGGGGGCTGCAACGGAGGTGGGTCCTTCGATGTTCTCTGGCAGATCTCTGCGTAACTAGGTTTTCGTAATTCCTGTGTGGCAAAACAGACACGGCTTTTGAGTGCAAAGGGGTCCCTTTTTAAACAATCAAAATGCACTTCCAGCTCAAGCAGCCCCCCTGAATGCACTGAGTAATAAGCAAGAATGTTTTTTACACAGGGTACGTGAGTGCTACAAATTGCACAGCAATATTGATCAAAGGTAATGCTTTCACAATCGAGGCAAGTCAATTATGTCCCTCTACACACAGAGAGAAAGCTTTGTGAATGAGGCAGTACTTTAAGAGTTTTCGTTTCACTATAAGAACAGCTGTTGTCAAAAAGTTCAAGGAAGTATCGATCTCTCCTGACAAATTAAACCTCAACATCAACATTTTAGATTCCACTGCAAGCTAAATTACGCCTATACAATCTCTCTCACTCACTGTCACTGACACAAATGATTTGGTTTTATCATGCCATTTTGTTTTAATTTGGGGTTCTTTTTTTGCACATTTTATTCATTTTGATGTAATTTACGATTGTAAAATTTGTGTCAGCTGCTTTTGGGTTTAAAGTTTGCAGAAGAGAAAGATGAAATAAATATTATATGCTTCTGAGATAAATAAGGGCACCTCTGCAAGCAAAGTTAGTTGTCAGCTAGGAAGATGGGTGAAAACACAGCTTGTGCATACTGACTGCTTGGCTTATTATGGGTTAATATAGACACACATGAGTTTTGACCACTTGTTGAGCATAGGCGTCATCAAGCAGTGCTGAGAAAATGGACTGTCTGAATCCATCTGGCTACTGATTCAGGAAATTAAGATACAGTTATATTTGACAGATTATGCTCATGTATGGACAGAAGAGATTTCAAGCTCTCCATTGCTTACTCATCACTCTTTACTAACCAAATACTAAGTAACTCAATCATTTTGAATTTTCTTGCCTAAAAGACTCATAGCTAAACAGAGAACCTCTCATGAAAGTAAAAACTTGATTTTCTTTTCTATCTTAACTTCCATTTTGCTTTTCCATCTTGAATGCCACTAATATCATTGATTTGAATTGTTGTTTAGTTGTTTATATGTTGTTTTCATGCTTTTACTGTAAGCCACCCAGAGTAGACATAGTCTAGATGGGCGGGATACAAATCTAATAAAATAAATACATAAATAAAAATGTACTTACAGCTACAGCACCCCCGTTTACTTGTACTGATTTACAAGCAGTAGTGAGTACAGAAGAAAGTCTTTCAGTATTTTGTGTTTCCTTCTGCTGTTTTTCCACAACTTTGGGGTCACTGCAACTGACAAAGATGAACATACCAATGTAGTAAAACACCTTGAACTTTGCATTTAACCCATATGCTCAGTCAACATGCAGAAGGCAATGGCTCCTATTCCATTAGGGAAAATGACTATCTCTCTACTGTAGAGAACTAAGTGAATACTCACTCCTCGTCTTGGGTGCAATTTTTCACAGTGATAGCCAGGTTCAAAGTGTCATGATTAAAGATAAATCCCTAGACCAGTGATTACCAATCTTGGGTAACTCAGATGTTCTTGGACTGCAACTAGCAGAAACCCTGGCCCACACAGCTAATGATGAAATTGTTAACTCAGAGTAGTATATTTAAAGCCATGTAAAGATCCTTACTCAGGAGGCTGGGTTGGGGAAGGAGTCCTTTCAAATGTCCCGGGCACAGCAGAAGAGACTGGCAATAAAGGCTCTCGAGGCAGTCCTGATGGAACAGCGTTTGCATTTGCACTGATGTTAAGGTTCTGAGGAAAGTGAAAGTCTGATCATTTCATAGTACTTCCAAAGCAACAACACAATGCATATGTAAGATACTTGAACGCACACAACATCTTTATGAAAGGGGTAATGGGAGAAAGATGCCAAAAGGACTCAAACCCTGTAGTGAGGCATCAGCTTCTGATCAATTGAGCTGTTATATCACAGCATGTTAATTTCAGCAAGGAATACATAGTGACTCAAATGATGAGATCAGTGATGATCTCAAAAATACCTGCTTCCCAGCCCAAATATGACAATCTGATTGGATGATGCCAAAATAAACATTTAGGTCGGAAGTAATCATCGCAGTCAACATCAGTGATGAGTCAAAGATGACATTTATGCTACATCAAGTTCAGGAATGCTTGAGTTTGGATTTAAAGAGGTGCTTGTAGGAAAACATGCTTTGGGGCCTGGTATCTCCTGGACTATGTGCAACACTATACACTATTTCTAGACACACTTGGCCCCTCAAAGCTGGGCTGTGAATGACAACACAGAGTTGCATGTATTCTTGCATCACATCTAAGAACGTCTGATATTTCTACAATGCCATTTTAGCTTAATTACCTTAACATTTAATTGCAAGGATCAGGTAATATGGGAAGCAGCTTGTCAATGCTGACAATACCAAGCAGAAAATGACACCTTAATTACCTTAACATTTAATTGCAAGGACCAGGTAATATGGGAAGCTTAGCTGGTTATAAACACTGGATCTAGACCTTGGTAGCTTTACATCTTTCACCTTGACACGTCAGTCTGTTAGGCACTCTGGCTGAACTTGTTCCTTTTCTTCTATTACCATGAAAACACCTCTTTGCCACTACAGGGACATCTAGTTACTGATTTGAATTTCTCTTACACAAGTACATAGATTTACCCTGTAGTTAGCCAGAAACCAAAATTAAAGATTCACTTCAGACAAACTCGCAATCAAGAACTAGGCCTTAACTCATAAAGCTCAACAAATGCAACTGACAAATTCTGATGTTATCTTTCCCAAAATCTCTCTCTCTCTCTCTCTCTCTCTCTGTGTGTGTAAATAGCTTACCTTTTCCTTTGATGTTGTAACAATCACATTTGATAACCGATTTTCAAACAAATCTTCTGTCTTTAGGTTACCAGCAGCTCCAGGCAATGGAGGAAAACTGGACAGCCCCAACTCAAAACTAGGAGACGGAGGCTTTGGAGGGGGTGGAGACTGTGCCTGTCCTCTCTGCAAGAGATTTTCAGCATAAGGAAATGGTGCAAATGTCATGTAAAACCTCCAATGATCTCTAACATTCAGAGGGCTACATGCCTGCTGCTCAAGCAGCTGTGGGATACAAGGTGCATGACATGGCATGCTGAGCCTCTCCAGCTGCAAGTCCATTGTTTTTTATGAGGAAAGCAGCCATTCTCCAGGTTAAAAAAAGTTTCTAGACAGGAATCAAGGTCATTGAATCAGGATATCACTCCAGACAATCAAACACTCTACCTCTTTAATGATTT